CGCTGAAAAAACTAACCTATGACCATTTTTCACATTTATGACCATTGCGGCATCCTTATGATGACATGATCAAAATTTGGGCACATGGAAACTGGAAAATGTTTATGACAGTTGAACTGCCCCAGGGTCATATGATCACCTTTTGCAACCTTCCCAGCCAGCTTAAGACAAGCAAAGTCAATGAGGCAAGCCAGATTTGATTAACAAGTGCAGCGACTCACTTAACAACTGTGTCAAAAAAGGTTGTAAAATGGGGCACAACTCACTTAACAACTGTCTTGCTGAGCATTGAAAATTTTGGATCAATTGTGGCTGTAAGTCGAGGACTACCTGTTCTTGGCAAGGCAAGAAAATCCAAGGGGGATTTTGTGACAGAGATGGTCATAGAAAAAAATATGCAATTCGTTTTGACTTTTGAGATGCAGCGATCAACACAATGCTCCTTTCTGCAGAGGTCAACATCCTGGTGTCCTTGCTCACTGAGTTTTAGAAGGTTTACTGTTCAACCTATCTAAAAGCACTAAGTTCAGGAAATCATCTCTTCTGTTGGCCTAGCCTGTTCCTCCCTTACCGCAGCCAGCTTATCAAACCGAGCAAACAGTTCATTCAGCGTCATGACCAGTTCTTGTGCCGTGCACTGGGATGCCAAGCTGGTGAAGCCCTCAATGTCAGCAAAGAGGATGCTGTAGGAGGAGAAAAGCAGAAACAGGTATTAGAACAGAAATCCACAAACAACCAAAAGCCATTTGGCTCCTTTTTGCATATATTCATGAGGCAATTCCGCCAATATCTCCCACTCCGCTGACCCTCATCTGCCAAGAAATTATGCTATGATCTCCAAATTTCTAAAGGAATGATGTTAGTTAACTGTTTTCACTGTCACTCAAAGTCACAGACACATATATCCAAAGCATATATTACCTGACGTTGTCATGTTTCTGGATATAGATCTTGTGGAACATCATGTCTTCCTTCTTGGTGTTGATGTCCTCCTTCATTTCCATGGCAACATGTTGGGGCAGCACTGAGAGCAGAAGTCGTTCCTGTCAGGGGTCCAGAAAGAAAGGTCCATTATGGTCTTCATTACAGCAATAATTTTGTTGGAATAGACCAAAGACCAAGATCAGAACGTACAAACCCACCCCCGTACCAATGTTGTTTTATTTCATACTTTTTTTGGGCCTGCAAGGCATTACAGAGTTGAGTTGCCGTGCTACCTATTCCCACCTCATAATCATTTGACTGCCAGACAGGCTGAAACTTAGCAGAAAGGAAGAAGGCCCAAGATGGCAATTTATTACCATACGGGGAAAAAGGAAATCTGTGTTAAAGGTAATGCTTGAGTATGTGCATAAAGCAGTATTGGCAAAACTTTTTGGTACCGAGTGCTAAAACAGGAGTGTGTGCGTGCAGCAGAGCACTGGGAACCAGAAGAGCAGCTCCCCGGCGCACATGCAGGAGCACCAGAAACCAGAAGCTCAGTTTCCTGGTGCGCAGATGCGCGCCAGGGAATTGCTCTTCCAGCTTCCAGTGTTTCCCGCACACACACGCTCCCGGAACCTGGAAGAGCAACAGGTGATGGCTGGCGTGCCTGGAGAGATGGCTCTGTGTGCCACTTCCGGCACGCGTGCAATAGATTCACCATCACTAGTATAATACCCTTCTGCCTAGCTAATAAAGTCATGAGGTTCGCTGGAAGAGACCAATGTTAGCGCTAAATAACAGGAATGAGGTATTCACTTCCACAGAAACTCTCTAGAAGAAAATGTACTGGCACAGTTAAACTGGATTTGTGGCCCATAGATAGAGTGAACAAAAAATTTGGTTTTTATGCATTCTTTCAAGAATTAAAGATCCTGAAATCTAGTGCAGAGGTGAATGATAAAGTAAACTCCAAAATAATTAGTGTCATTGATCTCAGGAAGCCAATGCAATTAATTTACAAGCCGACAATATAGGAAGATGTTCAGCACACATGCACACGCCTGACTTTAAATACAAAGCAGACAAATGCAAGGAGTGCAAATTATAGGGTAAGACGTAAATGCCACCTAATTTTCCATCTACCAATGTGAAGTTGCAGGAGAAAGACTCTGA